GGATGTTTTATTCTGCTCTTCTGATGTTAATTATATTGTTGATGTATTTTATGGCAACATTTTCCAAAGTTTTGACAGGCACATACCTCTGAATAAGAATTACAGTCACCGATACCCGCCTTGGTTTCACTCAGCTATTATTAAGAACATTAAACTTAAAGCTAAATTTAGGAAAAAAATCAACAGGTCTGCTTTTGTTGATGATCTACAAGAATTCAAACGTTTGCGCCGCTTGATAAAAAACCAGATTAAATCGGCGTATGATCATTGAAAATATCCAGAATTCTTTAACAATTAACCCCAATGCTTTTTGGTCATACGTTCACTCCAAAAACAACACATAACGAATCCCAGGGATAATGAAATTTAAAAATAATTCTATAGATCAGCCTCAGGAAATAGTAAACGCATTCAGTGAGTTTTTCAGCAGCGTCTATGTCACTCACAAGCCCCATAATAATGCCTCACTAAATCATACTAAATTTATTTGTCCATTTTCATCCAATTGAGGAAAATGAAGTCAGGAAGGCCATTAAATCACTAAAGGATAAGATAACATCTGGTCTAGATGACATCCCGTCCTTTATAGTCAAAGATTGTGTGGAAGTGTTTGTTGGTGTTCTAACTAGGATTTTTAATATTTGTCTTATAATAAAAAGATTTCCAGATATTTGGAAGATCACTAAGGTCTGTCCAATGTTTAAGTGTGGGGATAAGGCAAATATTGAGAATTACAGGGCAATCTCTATATTATGCATGTTCTCGAAAGTCTTTGAAATAGTCGCATTTACACTGCCGTCCAGCGTCAGCTCAAATCTATTTATAATAACGCAGTACCTCTCGGAATCCATTGATAGTAATGAGCAAGTTGACGTTATTTATACCGACTTTTCGAAGGCTTTCGATAAAATTAACCACAAAACTTTATTAAATAAGTTAGGTGCACTTGGTTTCACAGATGATGCTAGGGAGTTGATGAAATCTTACTTATCCGATCGTAGACAATTTCTTAGCTATAATGGCTTCCAATCTGAGACCTACTTGGCACCTTCTGGAGTTCCTCAGGGGTCCGACCTGGGACCATTACTGTTTTTGATATTTATTAATGACCTCTGTGACTCAGTTGAATGTGAACGCCTATGCTTTGCTGACGACCTAAAAATTTATTCGGAGATAAATACTCCTGATGATTGTATCAAGCTACAACACCAATTAAATTTTGTGCTGTCTTGGTGTGTAGAAAACAAGTTGGAGCTTAATGTGAGGAAGTGTAAAATAGTCAGCTATACCAGGAAAATTAATGTTTGCGAATATCCGTACTCTATTGATGGGTCTGTGCTAGAAAGATGCTCTGATGTACGTGATTTAGGTATAATCTATGATCAAAAGTTAACTTTTAGTCAGCATATAAATAAAAAAGCATCAGAAGCATTCGCGGCTTATGGTTTCATAGTAAGGAATTGCAGGAATTTTCATAACATAAAGTCTATGAAGCTATTATATTATGCTTATGTTAGATCCAAACTCGAATATTGTAGTATTATTTGGAGCCCTTACTATGAATGCTATAGCACAGCTATTGAAAGAGTACAACGGAAGTTTATGAAGTTTGTTCTGTTTAGGATTGATGGGACATATCCAGATAGAGGTACAAGTAATGAGGAACTATGTAGTCGCTTAGAGATGTTGACTTTGAAAAAACATAGGTACTGTGCCACAATAATATTTGGCTACAAAATGATCAACAATTTAATTGATTGCCCCATGATCCTGGAACAGATCAAGTTTCGTACTCCAACGTTTGCATCTCGCAATCATAAAATATTCGGGCTTCCTAGAGCTAGGACAAACATTCTTCTCAAGTCACCGTTATATGTAATGTGCTCTAACTTAAACAGAATTGGATGTTACTGTCATATATTTACGACAAATGTTAATTACCTGCTACAGGCAGCTAAGGCTTATTAGGACCAATAGCTCATGTTACAAATTTATACCTGTGTTGCATTTGTTGTTTTCTTTTCGCTTTTTTTCGCTTTTTTTTGCTTTTTTTTGCTTTTGTATAATGTTTATAAATTGTCCTATAAATGGGAAACTGTTGGACAATAAAGCTATTATTATTATTATTATTATTATTATTATTATTATCATTATTATTATTATTATTATTATTATTATTATTATCATTATTATTATTATTATCATTATTATTATTATTATTATTATTATTATTATTATTATTATTACTGATCGATCACTTTTATATCCCGAGTCACATAGTAGGCCGAGAAAAAGGTAATTTTTTCCTACAATTTTGGCAACAGTAATTTTTCTTAGAAGAGTCTGGACATTTTTGAGACATAAATGGGCGCAGAGCAGAATGTAAAAGAATATGTGGATTTACTCTTCTTCCAATTTTAAAAAAAGCAACTAAAATGAAAACGACATACGCCTAATAGTAATAATATCTAGCTTCATTTGATATTAAGGTAATAGAATGGATCATACATCATTCTAATATTAATTACATCAAGTTTCCACATATGAAAATCGAACCCCTCCGTTGTTAAAGGCTTTACCCACGTCATGTGTGCAATTGGTCTAACTCCATAATCAGGTACTCCAAGTAGGTGCGCGGTGACCTATTATAGCAATACCTGACTAACTGCAAACAGCTGCAATCAGCCTCTCATATGGTTTTATAGAGTTCTGAGTAGGTTTGACAGACTAGTTGAAACTAAAAGAGTGAAATATCTGGATGTTTTGGACATTGGGCAATAAGAAGGATCCTTTTTTCAAACTTTCGTTAATGTTATTTATTATATTACTTGGCTTCGTCATGCCTACACTTACCGGCATTTACATATTTTCATTAATACATAAGTTAAAACATAGTGTTCTAACGGGTGATTTTTTAAGAGGGATAGGATTTTATCTTAAAAAAAAAACACAAAAAATTTGAAAAAACGATTAAATCTTTATTTGAGTCGATAGAACGGTCGATATAATTTAATGTTTAAAGATTATTTCATGTAAATGTTGGCCGCGGCTCCACTCTCTCCAACATATCGGCCGGTATCTCACGAATAAATGCTTCAATATTGGCTTCCAGTGCGTCAATCGTTGCTGGTTTATCCCTGTATACATTAGCCTTAACATGACCCCACAAGAAATAGTCCAACGGCGTTAAATCACACGATCTAGGCGGCCAATTGACGGGCCCCAAACGTGAGATAAACTGTTCACCGAACTCGCCTCTCAATAGGGCCATTGTTTCGTGTGCGGTGTGTCATGTGGCACCGTCTTGTTGAAACCACATGTCAGCCAAGTCCAGCTGTTCCATTTTGGGCAAAAAAAAGTTTGTTATCATCGCACGGTAGCGCTCGCCATTCACAGTTACGTTCCGGCCATTGTCGTCTTTGAAGAAGTACGGCCCGATGATGCCACCGGCCCATAATCCACAACAAACAGTGATTTCTGCGGGATGCATTGGTAGCTCTTGAAATGCTTCTGGTTGGTCTTCACTCCAGATGCCGCAATTTTGCTTGTTAACGTACCCATTCAAACAGAAATGAGCTTCGTCGCTGAACACAATTTTTCGATAAAAATGTGGACCTTCCTCCAACTTTGCCAGTGCCCATTCACCAAACTGGAAACGTTGTGGGAGGTCGTGTGGCTTCAATTCTTGCACCAGCTGTATCTTATAAGGTTTTACACCCAAATCCTGTCGCAAGATTTTCCACTTAGTGGAGTAACAGAGATCCAATTGCTGCGAACGGCGGCGAATCGACATTTCACGGTCATCACTAACACTGGCGGATACAGCCGCAATATTTTCTTCAGTCCTCACTCTACGTCTGCGTGTTGGTGGTTTAAAGTCCAATAATGTAAACTAGGTTCGAAATTTAGTCACAAGCTTCCGAATAGCTCCCTCAGTAGGCCGACCAAATTGCCCATAAATTGGAAGCAGTGCTCGATGCACTCTCTTAACCGAGCATGAATTTTGATAGTAAAATGCAATAATTTGCAAGCGTTGTTCGTTCGTAAGTCGATTCATGGTTAAATTATAGACCAAACTGAACAAGTTTGACAATGACACAAGACACGATTCACGCGTCATCTGTCAAAAACAGTGTTGTCAAAAAGATACTAGCAAAAAAATCACCCATTATTAGCAGCATCTCCAATATTTCACATCTCTATGTGTTTTAATATGGACCTAATTTGTATTTATGATGCGTCTGCATCCGGTATTCGCAAAATAAACAGTGCTGTTTAACGTTATATACGACAAGGCATAGCAAGCCATTATAAGAAAGGAATGCTTTTGCAGTATTAATATCCTTAAGCATCATACCATACCACAGGAATGTCGCACCTGTTCCTCCTTTGCGGTTAGCTTCTAGAAATCCTCGACCAACTTGAAAAAAATTGGCCTGTCTACGTATATGCCATCACTCACTCATCTTTGTATTTGGTCCTATAGTAGCTTTGTATTGTTCAGCTAAGCGGTATTTAGTAAATCACTAAGTAGCAAATCATGGATAAGATTATCAACTCCTCTATACAAAATGCCCAAAATAAAAGAAGATCCTATAAAAGATGTAGTATGGAGTTTCTTTTGAATGAAGCCTCTCGAATTTGGTTATTCTTAGATATCTTCCGAATGACGTTTTGTATTCAATGTAATCGTTACAACATAGTAACCGGTTGGGATCTAATGTATGCGTGACCATAGAAAACACCTAAATTTTTGGAAACCCTGATCCTTAGACTGAAAAAATTACAATAATGATTTTGTTTTAGTAGATTTTTATGTATCAGTCATTATTCTAATACCAATATACTTTGTGAACTGTGATACTGGAAAAATATGATAATTCGTAATCGGTGACACGAAAAACCTATATTTGTGTATTACCTTTAAGTGACTAGTATGCTATTTATTTCAGTTGTTTTTCATTTTTAAAGTTTTTTACTAACGCTTTTGTCTGTTACAGGTTTCACCACAAGTGACTCGGTAAATAATAAACCGCACAAGCACAAAAATCGAATAGTTAAAATATATTCATCGAAACAAAATATATAATCTTACCTCAAGTAGAACTTTTTTAATATTAGCTAATAATTATTAATACTTATATGACCCCAGAAATGGCTAGAAATTGCCCATCCTTATCCATCTAAAAAAAACTTAATAGAACATCAAGTCAAATGTATTCATCAAAAACAAAAAAATCTATACAAAAATGAGTTTTAGCTTATTACTTAAGGATAAGGCCAAAGTGGCGTAATAATAGGGCTGGTTAATTTCCCACCATTATAAACGCATTTGATCGAAAATTTTGGAAACCATCGATCCTACGTAAAAAAGTAATTGAAATAATTTTGTATTAAACTGGATTCTTCATCATTTGCTTCCATAAATTTAAAGTCATAGATACATGATGATGATATTTTCGCTTTTAATGGTTAAACTAACAATATAAGCGAATAAAAACTACTATCATCTTCTGTAGAGAATAAAACTTTCCACTAAAAGGTCCTTTTGTTTTTTCGACACCTTGATGGTTCTTCAAATATAAGAGGCGAAAGTTAAAAATTCGTAATTCGTAGAGCAGTTGCGCGGTATACTCGGCACGCTACGTAAGTTATCCACGTGTCAGCATGTGGGGGCAGCTCCATAAGTCATTGTCTATAATCAATAATACCATTCTAAAGAGAATGAACACTTCTTTACTGCCACGCGTAAGTAACGGATAATTTATGTCTTCATCATGAAAATGTAAGTCACTCACTTCTGTAAGTCTGCCCATTGGCCATTTTGTCACTGCGCAGCCTCAGTCACCATTGCACTGATTTTAATGGAAAGGGAGTGATGTCATAAGCATTATCTACTACATCTCCTCTTTCATTAAAATCGCTGAAATGGTTACTGAAATTACTTAGTAACAAAATCACCAACAGACAGACTGATGATAGTGAGTGGATTTGATCTTCATAGCAGTAATAGTGATAGTAGTAGTATTTTATTTGGTCAAGTACAAAAACCCAATGTTGAAATGGCATGTCAAAATAGAGAAAGAAATAGCATAATAATTACAACTTTAAGTTTGAATAAACTGAAGACAAATATGATGTAAATTCATAAAGTATGTATGTATGTATGTAATGAAAACATCACAATTTATCAATAAAGATTACATTTTCCATACCTACGCGTAGTAAGAAAAAATTGATTTACTTTGAAATAGTATTTTTGATCATAGATAATGATTATGCAGTTATCTCCACGTGAAATAATGTTGCATGTGGATAACATTAACAAAGTATAATACATAGCGTGTAGACTGTTTTGGTACCAATTTTCAACTTTCCCTCCTTATACTCCACGAACCATCAAGGCATCGAAAAAACATAAAATACCTCTCTTGTAGCAAAGTTTATTCTCTACAATAAATAGTACTGTTTTTTACTCTTAGATACTTAGTTTAGCCATTATTAGCGGAAGTATCATTACACGTATTTTTACCTTCTGCTTACTCGTAATCTGTTGACTATACGACCATTTTTAATCGAAGGGAAATTTTTACTATTACTTTTGTTACATCGGTGGTTTTCGGGATTTGTGATCGAACGCGTTTATCAAAATGGCGGCAAATGCCCAGCCCTATCAGAACCCCAATTTGAATTCATCATTTGGATGCAATAACCTAACGACATTACAAAAAAAAATTACAGTCACCAAAAATGTAGGATTTCCTTATACAAAATCTCTATACTTCTTCTCTACATCTTGCATGATGACTTACTTGCTTACTTACTATGCGAGCCTTAAGACAATATCACTAAGTTCGCTCGGTTATGTTGTTAGCGTTGCGATTATCGTAGACTTTTTTGATTTGACTAACCTTAGCTAAGCGGTTTTCAAGCAGTCTTTTTCGTGGAGCATTTTTTGAGAGTCTCGGGAAGTTCAAACTTTCTATCAGTTATCGAATCTATAGTCCATTTTGGAGTGTGGAATTCTTTACATGTTTTTAGTCCTTCCAGAGGTACCGAACGATTATTGATTCGCTGTTTGCTGATTGATTCAGTACCAATTTTCATAAATGAATCAGCAGTTCATAAAATCATATACCGATGCTTTAAATTTTATCAAAATCTTTCTGCGACGTTGAGTGGATAAACAAACAATAACACCATTCTGCAAGTACTAAAGCACCCTCACAAGGTCGAGCATTTTTACAAAAATCTTCAACTGCACGTATACAACGCAATATCCCTACTAATATTATAAATGTAAAAGTGTGTATGTATTCACGCCAAAACACTCGAACCGATTTTGATGCATTTTGACACAGATATAGAGTAGACCTTTGAGACGGACCTATTGTTGTGAAAATTAGGCTTCAAGGGGTTGAAATAAGGGCTAAAAGCTACTATGAGGAAACTATTATTTTTTAAATCTAGGTATACAAATATGGATTTCATATGTTTGGTTCCTTGATACAGAGAAATCGGTACCTACAAAAAAAATTTAAATTCCACCCCTAAGGGTGTAAAGTGAGCATTCACACTCTTTAAGTTTTTGTGGAGAATTTCGAATATTTAGAATTTGTTCAGCTTAAATTTAGGAGTAGGTCTTCAATTTCTTTAAAATAATTATTATTAACAAAATGTTGCAGAAATTATATCCTCAAGTTGGGGCAGGAGGGGGTTGAATATTTCTATGGGGAACCTGATCAGGTTTATTGAGATTTATCTGGAACACATGGCTGGATCAAGGGGTGTTACGGGCAGATATACAGGGTGTCCCAGAAGTCGACGTCAAGCCGAAACCGGGTGACAGGCAAAGTCATAACAGCTATCAGAAAAATATTTAAAAAAATTTTATGTATGTGTTTTGAAAATTATAGGTCTTTGAAAAAGATATAGAAATTTCACACCCTACGGCAGTCTGTCAACTCCTGTTACTACAAATATTAACTTTTTTTGGATTTTATTTTTACAATGTAATGATGAATAATGCATCTTTAAGCTGGTGTCTCAACCTTACTGCCAACTTTTCTCGTTCAGGAAAAATTGCCACTTATTTCCCAACCAAGTATTCCAAAGTAAAACTTTGCTCAACTTTAACTGGCCGTACTGGAAAAAAATGTACTACGAGAGTTTGGCAAGTAACCTTAAAAGTTGGCGCATTTAATAACGATTCCAAAATGGTATAACACTTAGAAGATTACTTGTTAACTTATGCACAATTTTTATTTGAAAAAAAACTGATGAAAATTTTTCAAAATTTGCTGATGATGATTTACCTTTACAGCAAATGCTCAAACTGTTTTCCTTCAGCCGCAATACACGCTCGACATCTTAAAAAAGATCGGGTTATTAAACGATTAACAAACTCATGTGCTTCCAATAGTCTTTGCCGTAGCTTGTAGCTGGCCACGGTATTGTACCAGACCGCCTTATCCATCTGCCTGGAAAGTTTTGATCGAGATACTCTCTCACTGAGAGTGCATAGTGCGGTGGGCAGCCATCATGCTGAAACCACATGTCCCTGTAAATACTCAGTGGCACGTCCACCAATAAATTTTGTACATGATTTTTCAAAAAATCCAAATAAACTTCATCAGTCAAAGTCTCTGGGAACTCAAACGGACCGATTATTTTACCATTTAAAATTCCTGTCCAATGGTTTATCTTGAAGCGATATTGAGATTTATCTTCTCTCATCAAATGTGGGTTTGCTACGTGCCACTCGTGTAAGTTATGCAGGTTCATGTACCCATCTTTCTTAAATGTGGTCTCATCTGACCATAAAATTTTTTCAAAGAACCGTGGATCTTCCCTGTGTCTTTCTAACATTGTGCGACAAAAAGCAACTCGGGGCTCATAATCCCGGGCCAGGAGAGGTTGAACACGCTGTATGTGGTGTGGATGAAGCACATCACTTACTTGCTATTGCACACTTTGATACCGATCAGTACTCCTTCGTTTACTGCGCATCTTTACATGTTCGTGCTTGTTGATTTCGTACTGTTACTAATTTTGGATTCGTGAACTGGACTGTTGATAGCTTGTGATTTGGATTTGGACTGTTTAATTGCTCTTCAAAACAACATTTGCTTTCCTTAGACTATCTTTCATTTATGGGGAATGCAGATGCAACGCTAGTGCTGCAGCGAGACTTTACTGTGAGAGGTACCCGAATGCAGCTCGTCATCCAGATCATCGAGTGTTCACAAATGTGCACCGCTTACTGTTCTCAGAGGGCCAACACCAAACCAATCACACGGTGAGGGAAGATCTTTCCTTCCTTACGAAGACGTGGTGCTAGGAGCTGTCGAAGAAGACCCGAGTACTTCAGTGCGTGCAATAGAACTAAAAACAGGTGTGCCCAAAAGTACAGCCCATAGAATCCTGCAAAAAAACGTGCTCCATCCATACCACGTACAGCGTGTTCAAGCTCTTCTACCCCGGGATTATGAGCCCCGAGTTGCTTTTTGTCGCACAATGTTAGAAAGACACAGGGAAGATCCACGGTTCTTTGAAAAAAATTTATGGTCAGATGAGACCACATTTAAGAAAGATGGGTACATGAACCTGCATAACTTACACGAGTGGCACGTAGCAAACCCACATTTGATCAGAGAAGATAAATCTCAATATCGCTTCAAGATAAACCATTGGACAGGAATTTTAAATGGTAAAATAATCGGTCCGTTTGAGTTCCCAGAGACTTTGACTGCTTAGGTTTATTTAGGTTTTTTGCAAAATCATTTAGAAAATTTATTGGAGGACGTGCCACTGAGTATTTACAGGGACATGTGGTTTCAGCATGATGGCTGCCCAGCGTACTATGCACTCTCAGTGAGAGAGTATCTCGATCAAAACTTTCCAGGCAGATGGATAGGGCGGTCTGGTACAATACCGTGACCAGCCCGGTCACCAGATTTGAATCCGTTAGATTTTTTTTACTGGGGAACTGTAAAAGAAGAAGTGTATTTCAAGCCGATT